TGAGACAGATCGGAAGTCTGAACATAAAATTTAGCCTCTGTACAACTGTAACACCACTTTTTATAAGATTATACGTAAACTGTAAGCATAAAACCCAGAAAAAAAAGCAGGAATTTTGTACATGACTGCAAACTGGCTACCTATATTTTGAAATTATTATAGTCTTTAATACAAATATTTGTCTGCACAATTGCATGCTGTCTCAATTCCCTTTCAAACACATTGAAATCCCACATATTCTCAAGATTCAAAACATAGAAAGTAGACTAGTAAAGGGTGGTGCACACATGAGACAAAGATATATTCTGAACTATTTTCTAATTATCTAGTTCCTTTTCTAAAAGCATAGAGCAGTAATTCTCAGTGTGGGTCCTAGACCAGTAGAATCAGCATCATCTTGGAATTTGTTTCAAATGCAAATTATAGGGCCCTCATCTACAGAATCAAATACTCTGGAGTGGAGTTCAGTGATGTGTGAATAAGAGCACTAGGTAGCTCTGATGCATGATGAAGTTTAAGAACTATTGGCATGGAATATTCAATCCTTTAAAGCAGTGATCTTCAGTCCCCTTTGCCTCAGCAATAAAGCTGAGAGGATAGTGGCAATTGATGAATGATTGAGGCTAATTTCTTTTCTTCCTAGTCTGGGGTTATTTAGAGTTAATATTAGCTAACAAATTTTAGGTTGAATTTCAGTTACCTACATGCACATACTTTGGGGCAGTTGAATGCAATTTCTAGTTGATACATCAAAGACATCACTAAAAAAATTTTTTTAAAGATGTAGCTATATGTCTCTGAAACAAAAGAATAACAAGTTACTCATTAAATATAAACACTTTTAGATAATGGAATAATAGTCCAAATTACCCAGTTCTAATTAGTCTGGATGTATGTGAAAGTTATTCTCAGAGGAAATTTTACCACCGTGAGATGAATTAGAAGATTCAGTCCTCTTTTGAGACATATCAATAAACATACTATTATCATTGTACCTAATTGGTCTGCCTTATAGTCAGCAGAATTAAAGAATTTAGCTGAACAAGCCAACACCTTCTTTCCCCTAAATGCCTTAATGATCGCTACTACGATTTGAAGTACTGCCAATAGTTACCAGGCTTATGGATAACTATAGATTGTATCACTTAAAATGATTGTACCAATATTGTGAAGAAATAATGCATCTTCTAAATAAATAACTAAGATACAAGTTCAATACAAGAGTTACATAACTCATATCTGACTTTCTGAAAATAAATTAAATTTTGAATGATTCAATTTTTTTGTATACTTGTACAAATCAGACAGTAGATCAAGGAAGTATAACTAAGTCCTTTTCATGAACTATAGCAACATGTTTGTGTCATGAAATGAATACAGACTAAGTATTTATTTGCAGCTGATATGTACTGAATTATATTAATGAAATAATTAAACTATTACAATAATATAAGTTAAAATATGAGGAAGGAATTAAAAAGTTGAATTATTTTTTGGAGGGTAGAACCTTTGTAGTACAGACTTCTCCTACTAAGAAAAGGTTCTAGGACTCCATCAACATCAGTGTATCAGCTAGCATTGTTGAGGTGCTACATTAAGTGTCAGTGAAGTGTTTTTGGAGAGTCATTCAACACATTTGCCCATTTCATGATGGGTGATTTAAGAGTGCACCTGCCCATACTGAACTGAGAATTCAGCAGTTTTTGACCAAAATGGCATGATCCCCATGCTTCCCCCTTCCTGTTCACCCAATAATGCTCCAAGTGACTTTTTTGTTGTTGTTTCCCAGATGAAAAAAGTCATTGAAGGGAGATGTTTTGCAGAAGTGGAAGAGGTGAATCAAAAAAATGGCAGAAGCACTAACAGGCATCAAAACTGATGCATTCAAAAACCATTTTGAACAATGGAAAAAGCATTGTGATAGGTGTATTGCATTAAACGGAGACTTTGAAGGTAACTGAAGTGTTAACATGTGACTAAATATGCACTTATTTATAAATAAATTTGAGGTATTTTGAAGTCTCCTTCATATATGTTTTATTTTTGAGCTATTACAAGTTAATAAAACAATAATATTCACAAATAAAGGAAAATTATTAAATTGTATCCTGATATTCATTTTGCTGTTATTTTGTTATAAAGGACAGTATGAAGATGGTGGTATAAATAATTTAACTTTTAGCTCATGTTAGTCTGTAACATGTGTTGGCTGTTGTTTTAGTACAGTGATACCCACAATTATATCCACATAAAATAAGTATCTGTGGTGGAAAAAAAAGAGAGAAAAAAGAAAAACATACTCTGACCTTCATTTCTAAAAGTTATTTTTTCTTTATAGTTCATGAGATATTTTTTCTATGTTCTCTGTAGGAATCAGAGATATTATGCCAAAACAGATTTGTATGCAGAGAAGTGTTTACTTTACAGGACAATACATTTTTTGGTTTGTATTTTTCTTTTGAATTTTTTCCCTAAATAAGGAAAATAAATGTGCTGATGTGGTCCATGGGATATTGTGCATAAAGCTGATTAACAGTGATTACTTAAGAGATAGCTTTTGGAGTCATTGTCAACAACATAATCTCAAGACTTTCATAGTGTTAGACCATGTTTCCATCCTGGGCTCCATACAGGGAGTGAGTTTTTCCACCAAAAAAATGGGTTTAAATACTAATTCTATTTCCAGAGTTAAACGAGGCATCCTGTAAAGAAAAAACAGCTGCCCAACAGCACAGTGATTAGGTTAAAGTGGCAGAGAGCTGCAGCATCATGCAGCCATGCCTGCAAACAGCCAGCATTTTGCAGACAGTGTTAGAGGCAAGCAATGCTGTTGTTAGAAGCCAACTAACAAACACATAGCATTAAAAACTATTTTGAGCAAGTGCATAAGCAATAATTTGCTATTTAATTGAATTTGCTAAGAAGTGCACATCTTAGCACAGATGGTAGGGAACAAAATAAATTCAATCTCTTAAAAGAAGAATAATGTTTTAGCAATACTTGTCAAAGTTTTATAACCAGTTCCACTGTGGGGAGAAACTGGGAATTGGTTTTAGCACACATTGTATAACTTTTAAGGACTTTTGAATATGTCTGTCTTGAGTGTCGTGTGTACTTATATCGAAGGTTGAATTCTGTCATTTTCAATCAATTTCTTTTCAAGTTAAGGAATCCATTTAGATACTGTCTTATATAGAAAACCTTATGGGAAAAACTCTATCATTTTGAAATTCTGTTGTTTAGAGGTACCAGAAAAATCAGAAACTTTAACATAATTCTATATCAATTAAGCTTATTTTTGTCTAGGAGGACACATGTTACACTAAGGCTTGAATGCAGGTCTTGGTTCTTCCTTAAATTTTATCAATCCTTATGCCAATGCTGACTGGGCCTACCTAAAACTTTTTCTTAACAATAGACGACAAGAGTTGAAAAGGAAAGAAAGCAAGAGAAAACACCTATGATAGAAAAAGAGACAGGAAGGCACTGATGAGGATAAAGAGAGGAAAGAAAGAAATGAAAAATATTTAGAAGTAGGAAAAGGAAAGAGTTAGGGTCAATGATGTCCCTCCAACAGATTACATTGTTAGGAACAAGGCATTCATTTCACTCCTCTTATTTATTTAATTAAATTTTAACTTTAAATTATGTTTGAGAAGTTCTGCAAGTGGACATTGCAAAACTTATGAAGGAGAAGGCATCAAGCTCAGTATTTCTATTTTCATTATCTTCTTCATTAAAAAGAAGAGTTCTGTGACAGCCATATATTTTACATTGAATTTATAATATGAAAACTGTATATTTCAAATTGGTAGTTTTATCTGAAATAAGAAGTCTATTTTTTATTGGTGAACAAACCACTCTCTAATATAATTTTTAGTTAGCAGTTTGCTTGCCCCATACAGTTTTCTTTAAACACAGATCTGATTTGTCTGGCTGGTCTGTCTTTTCTAATTTGTCTGATTAAATTCAGCTCAGCAATATATTATCCATACTAGAGTTCAGTATAGGACAGTAATAAAATAGTAGCATAAGGAGAGAAAAACTTCTGGAAATATGACACTTTAAATATAAATTTATTCTTAAATGGTTTGTGGTCTTTAAAATTCACTGAAAACAGACAGTATTTCCCACAAGAAATCAATAATTTCTTCACTACTCTTCTAAACACTAAGTGGACTTAAAGTCTGAATATAAAACATGACTGAAATTAAAAAGAAAATCTCCAGTTATGATTCCTAATTGCTTGTGTTCACCTAATTCAGCATGAGGAATTTTAAAATGAGATTGATGCCCTCAAGCCTTGAAAAAGGCATTAACACACTTTAGGGAATGAAGCCTTATTTTATATAATTAAACGAATATTGCAATGAAAACACAGCTCACACAAACTTTTTTTTTTTAAGTTTTGCACCTTCAACATGTATTCTGTTGCTTCTCAATTGTAGAATGCTAAATAGCAAATCCATTTTTCAAAATACTGGAAAGGAAATATTGGGAAAAATGTATAAATGTCTCCTTGGTGTTAAAAACAAAATCACACATGAATAGGCCAATCTTAAAAGAAGTATTTCCTGCATCATAAATTTAGAAGTACAAGCAATATTTGCTTTGAAATCCAGCCTAGCTTTATATACATCTCATACATCTCATGAACTTTACCACAGTAAGAAACAATGTAAACAAATCTTAAGCAGAATTATTCATCTACATATTCTTGACTTAGCTGCCCTTGGTATTGTTTTATGGGAGCATGGAAAGGGGAATAATCCATGCTTCATGACCCGCCCTCTCAACACCTTCTCCAGTCCTCAATCCCCAGTTGCTCAGGTGAGTTTGTGAAAGAAGACTGTGGCAGGCAGGAAAAGATGGGCACACAGCTAGTATTTCACTGTCTGTCTGTTCCAAACAAGCAAATGAGAATAAGTAGAAAGTGAAATGGTCTTTAGGTGTGTGGGGGAAACAGCCAGGTAAAGGATAAGATGCTTACTATCACAAACCTCATAAAAGAATCTTTCTCCTTCCTTCTTCTGCTCATGGAATTGCAAGTATAAGATGTTGGACAGAGACATGACACATTACAGACACAACACAAAACACATTTTTGACAGAGCTTTTTCAATGTGAAAAATAAAACAATGGTACGTCTAAAACCACTAGCATCACAAAGCATATTTCAAACAAACATTGATATTAAACTGACACAAAACATTTACAATTTGTGGATCTTTACATCATTAGCATACGAATATATGTGTGTGTATACGACTATACACACACACGACAAAAGGCTATTAACTATCTTCCTCCTTCATTCACACTTCTAATGTATTTACTAAAGTATTCTGTTGTGGATAATAATAATTTGAGTTTTGAATTGGATATCAGATTATTATCATTTCTTGTTTATAGCTAAACCGTGTAAAACTTGATTAAGGAACTTTCCATAGCAAGAGATATGCTGCTAATAGTCTCTAAGTAGGTATTTGGCAAATGTAGGAATAAAAACATACTCACCTCTTTCCCTCCCATGGATTCAAACATTTTTTCCAGTTGAACCCGTAGTTGTTGAATATTGTTCATCAAGATACAGGGCTTTAAATTTTAAAAAAAGAGTATGGTGAGTAATCTTTATATATTAAATTGTTGAATTAGTTTAACTTAAAAGTGGTAGCATATAGTTATCAGTGATAACCTATTATATTCAGCAAATACAATAATTGTTATTTTAATATTATGGCTTTTGAAAGCTAAGAAAGAAAAGAAAAAATATAAAGCCGCTTTGAGGATTGAAATTTGATAACACACTCAGACCATAAACCATTGAAAACTTGTTACTAAAGTTTTCTTCATCCTTAATATTGTAGCATGTCATGCTTAGAAATTAAACACATTCTGTTTATGTAGATTCACTTTAAGAAAATACTAGTTTAAATTCTTCTATTTCACTGTTTTAAAAAACAAAATACCATTTAAATTTTTTAAACCCAGAAAATTCACAAAACAAACAACTTTGAACTGATTCTCTGGCTGCAGAGAAAGACCACATGCTAGTAGTATTCAAGAACCTTTGTTTCTGACTTTGATCTCTGCTTCCCTCCTCATTTTCCTCTTTGTCTGTTTGTATCATATCTATCATTCAGATTAGGTAAAATCTTTCCTAGATTTTATCTTATCACTCACTTGTTATTTGTTTTATATCACTTTATGTTTGAATTGCTTTTCACTGTCCCACCAGCTAATTTTAAATACACTGTACATGCTGCTGTGTCTTTTTCTGCATTTCTTACAGACTACCACACAGCACTTAACACATGAAACATGCTGTAAAAAAAAGTTTCTTTTCTTTTTTTAATGTTTCTTGACCTGTTTCTAAGAAGGCAGAAAGATAACAATAACAAAGATGTAAAGCTTTGTGACAATACTAAATGTGAACTTGGAATAGTAAAAATTAATTTATAATTAGAAAACAGAATTCAGAATAGTTATAGAATTATTTAATGTTTGCACATTGTATATTGATTCCCTAAAGCCATTAGATCAGAGGGGAAAAAACAGGCAAAGAAAGGAAAATGGATATATTTTCCACATTGCTGGGAAATGAGCCAACAGTGAATCAGAGAGTCATACAAAGGACTCATGAGACATCAGAAAGTTGCTATCTCTCATTAGTGGAAAGACTTTTTTATTGCTCTGACCACATTACTGACCTTTGAAAAACTTTCTACTTGACTCTTAAAGTGACCACATCCTAACTTCGATTTATGAAAACAGTTTAAAATTTCTATTCTGTTTCTTTGATTCTAGTCACTTAAATACTTATTTTTAACACAGATATCTGAGATTTAACCCCCAAAGATTTTGATTTAGTAAACTGAATCAGAATGTTCCACAAAGTATTTTGATCCCTAGTCATGCCTGAGAACTACTTGAACTAGGTTTATTTCTTTCCAAAGTGAGTATGGTCAAATTTTCAGGGGGTTCAGAAGGGCAAGATTTCGCTTGAATTTGGGCAATCTTATCAGGGAGAAATCCAAGGTCAAAGTAAGACCATGACATAATGAGAAGCAGGAAGACTTCATGGATGAAGGGTTTTATTACCTTGATTCCCATGGGTTGAAGTTAGCTTGGTAAACTTTTTGGTAATTATTTACATTAGCATTCATGCTTATCCTTACTGGCTCATAAAACAGGATTCTAGTATCAGCTTTATAAATAAAGACTAACTGCCAAGACTTCTTAATATTACACTTTTTGATGGAAAAGAGCTACTAAGAACAAATGAAAAAGACAATTGTCACGTGACATGGATTACTGCTGGCCCAAGTAAGGCTACAGAGAAAAAACACATGCAGTTATCTGAGAGAGAGAGATACAAATAAATATGCGACTCTCCCCTTTCATTAAGCTTTCTTTGACCTTGAACTGTTTAAAGTTCAATATTATTGAATCAGTTTATCAAATCATTATTGAGGACTAGATTATAAAAATCTACCTTAAATTTAATTATGATATAGCTCTTACTTTAAACAACTTCATAATAAATGAAAAAAAGAAATCTACAGTTAAGGGATTTGAATTAACCTAATTCAAAGAAATTGCCTATTGAGGAGTATAGTGGGACAAAATGACCTGTGCTTGAAATCAAGTCATATCTTCTTATTTGTATATTTTGACTTTTTTCTTGAAAATATCATAATGTATTTCATTTTATCTAAATCTGGAACAAAGTCAGAAAACTGAAACATGGTGAATTTGAAAATCAGTTTTGTTCCGACTAGAGCCATTCCTACATGGCTAAAGTGTCTGAGTTCAAAAAGATTTTTTAAATTATTCAAAATAAAGTACTTCTGATTTAGATAGTGATACTTTATTATATGTAGGAATGTGGAATAAAATGGATAAATATGTTTTGACCCATTTCCAATTTAAAATGTTACAGTAGAAAAAAAAATTCTGACATAGACTTTTTTTTTTTTTTTTTTGAGTTGGAGTCTCATGCCCAGGCTGGAGTGCAGTGGCATGCTCATGGCCACTCAAACGTCAGCCTGCTGGGTTCAGGTAATCCTTCCACCTCAGTCTTCCAAGTAGCCAGAAATACAGGCATGCGTTACCATACCTGACTAGTTTTTTGATTTACTGAAGAGACGAGGTCTCACCATATTGCCTAGGCTGGTCTCAAACCTGCAGGCTCAGGCAATCCTCTCACCTCAGCCTCCCAAATTGCTGGGATTACAGACTTGGACATAGACATTTTATTTAACTCTGGTCTTTAGTTCTGATCCCTAAGAAATCAAATGTTATGAAAATATCTTAAATGATGTCTAGATTTAGAAGTTTCTACTTCAATTTGCAGGTGAAATAGATATATAATCATAGATATACTGAGAGATGTACAAATTTCAAGGGCCTTGCTATTGAAATAAATCTGTAATAGTAATCACGTGGACTCATGTAAGTGTACAAAATCACTTCAATTTGTCTAAACTGAAAGCACAAACCAAGTAGTTAAGTGATTTTCTTTAATAAAAGCTAAAATGATACTTGGCATTTAAGTGAGAGTATTAGGCTGGTCAAGATATCAATAATTATGGAAGAAAAGCACCAAGGGAACAAGAAAGTTCCTGTGCTGTAATATTTTCAGGGGATTTTTCTTTATAAAAATTTAATTTTTAAAAATATAAGACATAGAAATGTATATAAAATTATACAGTAAATACTGTTTTATGATTTTTCACCTTGGTGTTTTTCAGTATAAAATAGAATATAGAATGTAAATACAAAAAATGGAAATTTTTAGGGGCTTTTAAAAGCTAATCTTCCTTTCTATATGGCAGGAATTAACCTGGGTAGTTCACAGTCACCTTTCAAAATCTTCAATTTGGTCATCCCAATATAAACAGTATCTTTCTGAAATTATCAGGCACTGTTTGGATTTTCAGTATGACACTTTAGACATGTCTTTTAATTAGAAATAATGTGCTCTCAATAAATAAATTATCTTGGTTTTAGAGTATTTATAGTCAATGGCAATTAGAAATTACTGCTTGAGTTGTTAAGAAGGTCTAATAAAATTTCTGGGCAGCATATTAATTTTTTAAAAAAGAAGCATCTTCAGGAATTCTCAACAATCATTAGGAAGGACATATCTTAGTGAGCTGTCAGCGAGAGGTCAATGAGGTTTCAGAGAGAAGACTAGTAGCTTTCTTTAGAATCTTTTACATTTGCCTGATAGTAATAACTGATTTTTTTGAGAGGGGGGAAAACTGCTTTTTCTCTTAAAAATTCCATATTAACTTTTTATACATATTTTTTCAGTGCTTCTCTTTTTAAAATTCTTCCAATGTTGCCAACATATTTCTTCTAATATTACAGATTGAATAAGATGACTTCACACTGTCCATCATAAAATAACACATTCTATTCCAAATAACTTTAGTTTGTCTTACTTCTCTTTATGTCTTTTATTGACTAAATAGCAATACTGGCTTGAATATTCTCAGTCATTGAAAAAGGACTATATTAATTATTAAGAGTAAAAGTCAACATCATTCCATACATTAACCATCCTTCTCAATTTATTTGAAAACAGAAATACTAAATTACACTTATTTTATTATTAGTGCCAAAATAAAAATAGTTTGTACCAAAGCTCATCTAGTTTTTAGCTGACTAGTTCTCAGCATTTACAGGTAGATGGATTTTTAATTATTTATGCTAGTCTTGTTCCTTATCTACATGGAAAACCACAATTTGGCAGGCATCAAAACAATCTCAACCTTCTTATACTAAACGAGTTCAGAATTACTAGAGATGTTTTCAATTTCTTGAGATCCTATTTCTTACATTACTGTCTGATAACAGAAAGTAAACAATATTTATGGGTTACTTATACTTTGAAGGAATAAATCCCAACAGAAGGATACTTAAAAGTAGAGACATTTTTACTTACCACATTCTCCTTATCACAGTGTGAACTGAAATCACTTGATACAATTGCAGCATATTGAAGCAGCACTTTATTGATAGTCTAAGAAAGAAAACACTGTGAACTTTACCCAGGTGAGTATGTGGTTTCACATATAACTTATATAGGTTCATGCTAAGTTACCCTCTTCCTGTCTTTTTCATCCTAATTTTACATTTTCTTCCTCTCTCTAATAACTATTTTTGAACCTGAGAATGCCCTCTGCTTTTATTAATTATGCAAAACAGAGAAAAATGAACCATGTTACTTAAATTTTCTTTCAATTACTTAAAGATGTATTGATGAATTTGCATCTTACTGCTTTTATACACAGATTGAATTATCATACACCAAAAGTAGACATGATTTTTTAAAGAAGAGATAAAGCAACAATAACAGAAATGTGTCATCTCTTTTTATATAAAAATAAATACAAAAAAGCATTTATTTTCTTTTTTATACAATATTTGTGTGAATTTTCTGAGCAGCTTAAAATCAACTGGGGGAGATACTCCAAGAAGTTAAACTGAAGACGAGATGTTTAACCTGTAAACTTGAATTCACCAAATTGACTACAAATTTGTTTTATAGACCTTTAAAATCACAATGGAAACCTGAAATTAGGAATAACATGCAGATAGGAAATTGATACTCCACGGACATACACAGCAATGCGATGATATGCATCAACTTAAATAGAGAGTTGGTCTTAAAAAACATAAAATTTTGTCAGATAACAGCAGACTGGTAAATTCAGGAAAATATGGCTGATAAGACAGAAGTAACTTCCAAACACACCTCTTCAAATTTTACTTTAGACATAATGCTGAACTACTTGGGACTTCCCAAAGAAGTACTAATTCACTTGTACATATGAACACTACTATCAATTTACAGTTTCTTAATGTTGGTATAAACTGTAAGAATCACTTTACTATATCACATCAACAACATTAAACAAACACAAGCTATAATCCTGACATTAGGAGATTGTTGTAACTCAGACATAACTTGTTCAAGATAACGTTTGGACAGCATGAAACTTCTACATCTGGTACCATTTGGACATCCACTGGGTGACTTACTGAACAGTCTGACTTTTTTTTTCCTGGGAGAAGAAATGAGAAGCTAGTCATTCATTTATGATTATTTTCAAGGTATACTCCATGGTCTACAGCTTGGCTCTACTTCATAGGAAAGCTCCAGTCTCCTGAATACCCGCTTAGAGACCATTGATCCTGGGATCTCACATGCACTAGCCTACAAATGCCAATGGTTGGCAAGTAGGATGGGCTGCAGTTAAGAAAAAGTGCAGAGTCATGTAGAATATAGTTTAAGGCTGTGTACCTTTAAGAGTTGTTGCAATAACGCCCATATCCTTAATAATGTACAAAGTACACTTAAATGAGAATGTGCAATATACATTTAGAATGAACTTTGATTCATTCTAATTTATTCAACTAAGCAAGTGACTATAAGACATTAGTTCTTTAATGATGGGAAGTAGTTACTCATAGCACGTCTCCTAACTCATTGGTTCTTAGAATTCAATTCTAGGATCAGCAGCATTGTGAGCATCACATGGGAACTTCTTGGAAATGCAAATTCTCTGCTCCTATCCTAGCTCTCTTGGGTCAGCAACTCTAGAGGTGGGCCCTAGCAGTCTGTGTTTTAATAAGTCTCCAAGTGATTACAATGTATACTAAGTTTAAGGAATGTCTGGCAGGGTGGAGGTAACTCTTCAGAAAGAACCTGTTGATGGAAGGCGTACCTGGCAAAGTTTGGAAGATAGGACTCCTGGGTGAGGGAGCTTAGGACATGATTTTCTCTTTGGGGAACTGTTTGTTGCCAGAAGTGAAGGCAGTGCGGAGAGAGAGAGAGGCAGCAGACAGCTTAGTATGAGCTGTTGCATCTTGTTCAATAATAAAGCACAGTTTATATGAAGGCATAGTCATGAGGAGTAGAGGGCTTTTTCATGAATGCAGCAAAAGAACTGCATTTCAAAGAGCTCCAGATTAAACAAGATGAATTTCTAATAGTAGTGTGGCAGTAAAGCGAGTGATTCTGTTGCATTAAAAAGATCAGACAGGATGACTAAAATATCTCCCTGCCTTAATCAGTTCTGATTTGACATGCAGCTATTGGTGGAGCATTGAGTGAGAGGGTCATCAATTACTCACACAAAGGCATTGTGACTTCCTGTGCTAATGCCATGTTAGTAGGAATAGGCTAAATATCCTGTTAACACTTCCTGTGTTCCATCTAGTGTACTGCTCTTATGATTAGTAAGATAAGAACCCTCATTCAAAATCTATCTTTTCATTCATATTATATGCATGAAACAATACAGTATTAGAGCAACACGAGGACAAGAAGACTGCCATATTGGTTGAGCAACATTAGAAATTTGACTTCAGTGTTTTCTGTACTGTATTTTAACGCATCCAACATAAAATGGGGTCCATCATTTCTTCCACCACTAATGCCTAGACTTGGCCTTAAGGCTAAAAATAAATGATGGGATTCTACTCTCCAACTTACCAATTGATTTCTCATCACACTAGAATGAGAAGGGAGTACAGTATAGTAGTTAAAAGCATTCTGTTCACATCATTTCTAATTGGGTGCCTTGTCCCAGTTATTTAAGCTTTTTAACCTTGTTTCATCATGTAAAAAAATTAGGGAAAATAGTAGTACTATTTCATGGGGTTGTTGTGAAGAAAAAGCAAGACAATTTATATAAAGTATACTTTGTAAAGTATATATTAGTATAAATGTAAAAATATATGTTTTAATATATACATATTAGCATATGATAATGTTGAATAAATTATCACTTAAAAAAATTAGGATAGCTGGGCTCGGTGGCTCAGCCTGTAATCCTGTGCCTTTGGGAGGCTGAGGTGAGTGGATTGCCTGAGCCTGCGGGTTCGAGACCCGCCTGGGCAGGCGAGACCTCATCTCTACAATAAATAAAAAAAAAATTAGCCGGGTGTGGTAGCAAGTGCCTGTAGTTCCAGCTACTCAGAAGGCTGAGTCGGAAGGATCGCCGGAGCCCTGCAGGTCGAGGCTGCGGTGGCCGGGAGTGGCCACTGCACTCCAGTCTGGGCAACAGTGAGACTCCAACTCAAAAAAAAAAAAAAAATTAGGATTAATTTCCCAGAGAACAAGGAATAAGAATACTGTATATTATTACCTACCACAGTATGTCCAGCACTTGGCATACCCAGGATTCAATATTTGTTGAATTGCTTTTAGGTAGCAGTAAAGATATCACTACTTCATATCGCTTTTTAAAATTAAACTACCCATATGTGTCAAGAGCAGCAGTATAATCACAGGAACATTCACTACTCATGTGCCTGTTTTATCACCATCACAGCTTCTGAATGTTCCTGATATGAAATTTGAGGCATTTAGTTTGGTACCTTTTTTGAGTCTTATATACTCTTTAGTAAGAACAAATTGTCCCTTTAAATCCCATTCCAGAATGCTAAATCTTCTAAAGTGTCTGAAGATATCATTAACATGTCTTATCTAGAGGAGATAAATTAAATCAATGTAAATCCCAGAAAGAGAATATGATTTCAGTATTATTTTCTTTTTTCTTTTTCTTTTTCTTTTTTGAGTTGGAGTCTCACTCTGTCGCCCAGACTGGAGTGCAGTGGCCGCTCCCGTCACCACAGCTTCCACTTGCTAGGCTCTGGCGATCCTTCTGCCTCAGCCTTCCGAGTGGCCGGAATTACAGGCATGCACTACCACGCTCGGCTACTTTTTGATTTATTGTAGAGATGAGGTCTCGCCTGCCCAGGTGGGTCTTGAACCCGCGGACTCAGGCAATCCACTCACCTCAGCCTCCCAAAGGCGTGGGATTACAGGCTGAGCCACTGAGTCCGGCTTCAGTATTATTTTCAAACAAAGATCCCAGTCATAAGAAGGGTAGAGTTTTCAAGCCCAAAGGTCACATCTCATGAAATAAAAACAAATTCCAATAGTTTGCAGTTATTGTAAAATGACTATTTATTGTAACCACAAACTTTCAAAATCTACTTTATCACATAAAATACAAATTATAGATAAAAAGACTGACACTAGTCTAATGGATTTGAATGAGGCATACTTGTTTTTACATTTATGTTTTTAATTAATTTTGCTTTTTATTTTTTATTTCACATTGTAAGTCACTGCCAGAATTAAAAAGAGGAATGCTGGCCTGAGCTTTTAAATCATTCTAACAAAACAATTTATTTTTCAATGGAAATTACTAATTTCTGCTTTCTCAGAATATGTTTTTGCATTTTTTTATATCACTTCCTTTTGATAATTGGGTATCATTGAATTTTCATGGATTAAAAAATGTTTACCTTGATTGAATTATTTTATTCTGCCAATAAAAGCATATATTTCCTCAGTGATAGATGGAGCAACTTCCTTTCTTCTTGCTTCAGAGAATGAGTGTGGTTATAATATGACCCTCTTTGTGATCTCCCACTCTTGTACTCACATACTTCTGTCTAGGTCATTCAGTTATACTCCCAACAGTCAGTTTTACAGCTGAAGAAAGGTTAGAGCTACTAAGGGGTGGCAGGCAGACTGGAGCCCAGGGTCTAGGAATTCCAGTTCAGCATTCCATATGAACCTGCTTCCACCCCAAGTTCTACAGAATTCCAAGAATAGCATGTGACATACTTTTTCAAACACTATCCCTAATAACCTAGTTTCATTCGTTTCTTGGCATTCTTCCACAACACAGCTGCTTATCAAGAAGAGACCAGGATAATTTTTAGAATTATTCTGCTAGATATTACCATATTGCAAAATTGGAGTCATCTAAGGGTACTAAGAAAGTCATCTCTGAGAATGGTCCAAATAAGTAAACTGTAGCTGTTATTAAAAAGTGAGAGCTGCCGGGCTCGGTGGCTCAGCCTATAATCCTGTGCCTTTGGGAGGCTGAGGTGAGTGGATTGCCTGAGCCCGCGGGTTCGAGACCTGCCTGGGCAGCGAGACCTCATCTCTACAATAAATAAATAAAAAAATCAGCTGGGCATGGTAGTGCATGCCTGTAATTCCGGCTACTTGGAAGGCTGAGGCGGAAGGATCGCAGGAGCACAGCAGGTCGAGGCTGCGGTGGCCGGGGGTGGCCACTGCACTCCAGCCTGGGCGACAGAGTGAGACTCCAACTCAAAAAAAAAAAAAAAGTGAGAGCTGAGTCTTCTTAATGAATAAATATTTGAGTTCAAAATAATTCATGGCAAATAAATATTTTAAGACAGTTCAGACTGACGGCTGTCTGCCTAAAAAGCTTCATTGGCTTCTCATTAAAAAAAAAAAAATAGGTTCAGCCAGTTTGCCTGTTCTTTAAGGCTCTTGACAATGTGGGCCTAATTTTCCGACCTTAACTCCACGAGCCTTCCAGGAATTGTATGGTCTCTTCTCTTTGGAACCTCTCAGGATAGAATCCCTGAGTCAGAGAATGATGGATAGCTCTCTTGCAGAGTCTCCTAACACTTATCTGATGTTGTATAAGCAACGTATAAATCTTTGTGGTGCTAAACTTTAGAGTTTCTGGGTTTGTTACCTCAAAATCAACTATTTGGCCACATTTAATAAACATGCTGTCTCCTGCAAGACGTCTTTCCTAATCCATTAATCAGAGAACCAGGTTTAAACTTTTCAAAGACGTAGGGCCGAGGGCAGAGTCAGGCCTAAACATCCCATTCATAAAGGACCTCAATTTCAGACTTTTTGTGATAATGTCAAATGAAGTTATATACTAATTGTGGTTGTCTCTGTGGTGTAAAGCAGTAACATGTTAAATGCACACATCTGTTTTGGGCTGAATTGTGCCCCCCCAAATTTCTAAGTTGAAGTCCTAATGTCTAGTTTCCCAAAATGTGACTATATTTGGAGATAGGGACTTTTAAAAAGTAAGCTAAAGGCCGGGCATGGTGGCTCACACCTGTAATCCCAGTGCTTTGGGAGGCTGAGGTGGTAGGATTGCTTGAACCCAGGAGTTCAAGACCAATCTAGGCAACATAGTAAGACCTCATCTTTACAATAATAATAATAATAAAATAATAATAGCAATACTAAAAAGTAAGCTAAAATAAAGTTGTCATGGTGGGCCCTAATTCGATCTTGCCGTTGTCCACCTATGAAGAGGAAATTTTGATACAAAAAGAGATACCAGGGATGCCTACACCCAGAGGGCAGACATCTCAAGAGAGAAGCCTCAGGAGAAACTAAACCTGCAGATACCTTGATCTTGGACTTCCAGCTCCAGAACTGTGAGAAAATAAATTTCTGTTGTTTAAGCCACTTAGTCTGTGATATTTTGTTATGGTAGTCCTAGCAAACTAACATCTTAAATATTACACAATTTAAATTTGGTTTTGGCATTTCCTTATTTCTTAACATATCAAATATAAATATTCTGGACTTCTTTTAATCCCTGGGATGCCTTGATTATGGCATCTGACTTTTACATAGTTATTTACAGTTTTGGCCCTCCCATTACAAGTTTTTTGAGGTCAGAGATTATGCTTATTCATAACTACATCCCTCAAGGCAGCTTATAAAGTCCACAAATGAGGCAATCAGTAAGCACTCGTTGAATGAACAGCCAAAACCTCAGTCATCATTCAACCCACGGAGCCAGACTTACATTTAGATCAGCCAGACATATAACTGTGTAAGTAGTTTCCTTAAATTACTATGTTTGTCATGTCACTACCCTGCATGAAAATATCCAAATGTTCAGTGTTTCCTAAATTGACCATAAGATTAAGTATAAATTTCTCAACCTGGAAAGCAGAGCTCTTCAAGATCTGGGTCATCTTCACTCTCCCAACATTTTCCACTGCTCTCAAAAAGGGTTGTTTCCCCCATTTCTTGCCATGTCACTCTCAGCTTTTCTTCTCCCTTTGTTTCTGCTATTCTTCTGGCTTAGAATACTTTTCTAACTTCACCTTTTTAAGTTTTTATGAGCCCTACTTTTACCATGAAGTCTCTGTCTATTTCAGTTCTCATCAGATTTCCCTCTGCTCAATTTACTGTAGATTCTACTATATTTGAAGTTGAATTGTGTCACTTTCCATGGCATCTTTCAATCAGTTTATGTTATATGGTCTTGCGTATTATATGAAATTCTTTTTAAGATTTGATGGACAGAGACTGCTTTTTAAATTTCTTATCTTTCCCTTGAAACTCTCGGCAAGGTAGTAAGCACATAGCATGTCACCTTAGATTTTAAGAGAGGAAGAGGCCTTGAAGAAATTTGGTTTATCAAAATCAGTCTGTCAAATATGAAAACTAAATTTATTAAAAAATAAACTATTCCCATTCAACTACAATTATTGGATGATTTTTAATCAGAACTCAGTTTTCACAATTCCAATTCCAATATACATTTTACTCTAGTACAATGTCTGCTAAAAAACACTTGGTAATTTGAAAAGAAATTGCCAAGCCTTACTTTCAGCTAGAAAGCACTACATTTGAAACAATTTGGTAATCCCTTCAATTATAATTGACTGAGTCATCAATAAATATGCTTAAAAAATAGTTAATTCATATGAAAGAAATAGTATAGGAAATCAGATGATGATCTTGAAGACATCTTGAACCTGTTAGCATAGAATTACACATAAATTGGGACAGTGGTGCCAGAGAAGACTGGTACTACAAAACAACAGCAATTTTCAGGTTGCCACAGTCCCAGATAAGAAAAGATTCATTCCATTAACCTACCTTTGCAAATCTTCTCATTAAGTGAGATAATGCTTCAGGATTAGGGCATTCCAGCTTCTTAATAATCTCGAAGCTCTGATTAAGCTGAGCAAAGACATCAACCACGGAGCAAGAGAAGAGGGCATGATCAGATGTCTGCTGGAACTGAGGAGAGAGGGGGTGAAATCATCCCAAGAAGATATTAGAGGGGACACAGAAAGAATCTTCATTATTTCACAGAAACATCTGAATCTCCCATTTCATGTACATTCATTGCCTGCTTACCCACTTTAAAATTGTTTATCTCCTTTGCTAGAAAGTGTGGTGGAACTCTAATCATGGGACAAGCTGCTGCTACTTGGTTTTTCCACTGCTGAATTGAGGGACTGATTCCTTCCTATTTCTACTTTCTCACAGGCATTGGGATAGCTTAGCGAGTCGTTTGTGGTTCAAGATTTTGAGTTACTGCTGAGGGACTGGAAGAGTATTCCTAATCTAGATATCTTAAAAGGCTCCAGGACAACAAAGATATTTTGTTTAAGTTTGGGGAACTTGTAGATTTAGACCAATTCAAGAAAGGACAAAGAATCTTGGAACAAAGAGGTGTTTTGTTTTTGTTTTGTTTTGTTTTTTAATAATTTAAGCAGTTCTCTAGGGTTCTGACCAGAACTTAGAAAATTGTGTTTTAAATTTATTTTGATCATTACAGAATTAAATAAAACTGAATTAACAATAATGAGCCTTACAATTCCCATTAGCCTAAAAGTGAGCAATGTGACTGAATCATGACAGTAATTTAAACTCACTCCATCTTTTTTGTCTCTTCCCAGTGCTCCATGAAGGAACTCCATTGACACATCTTCATTTTCATCTAGCCATTGCATGACAAAAGGTTCAAACCACCTAAAAAAGTTAATAATGTTTACATACCACAAAGAACATCATGTACAAATAATGAACAATTTGGCTACTCTTTTCTATATGAGAGTAATTCAGACTACAAAGTCTCCTTTCATTCCCATTTTCTAGTTTTGCTTCCTCAGCGACCTTTATCTTCACTCCATCAAATATACTGCCTCTCTTTTACCTTCAGTCTCTACCTCCTTCTGAGCTCTTCCCATATTGTGTCAAATATCCTTAGTTCCCAATACTATGCAATTTTCTTTACAGTTCAAACTCCTGTAAAATGTAGATTTTGTATGCTCTGTCCCCTATCATACATACTATTTCTTCATTTCTTAATTCTTTATGATTGAGCTTCTACCCATTCCCACTAATCTATAATTAATCCTGGGTGGTCATCTCTGACAGTATATCTGCAATTAGTTTTTGTAAATGGCCTGAGACATGTTTCACAATTATTTTTTCCATATGGATGCCCAACTGATCTAGCATCATTTATTTAGAACACCATTCATTTCTCCACGGCATTGAACAGGCATTTCTGATGCAAATCGGGTGATGACTTGTGTGGGTCTGTCTCTAAACTATTTTGTTCCACTGGTTCATTTGTCATCCACTAACACCACACTCTTTTAATAACTCTATCTTTTTAATACATCTTGATAACCGATAGTGTAGTTCTCCAAATAGTTTAATATTCTTTTCAAGATTGCCTTCTGCATTTCTATATATATTTTTTAATGAACTTGTAAATTTGCACAAAAAATACCTTCTGTAATTTTGATAGAATTGCATTGAATCTGTAGACCAACATGGAGAACTACTATCTTTATAATAATGCATTTATTTAGGAATATTGTATATTTTATTTAGTTCATCTTAAATTTCTCTCAGAGAATTTCATGAAAAGAGGACTTGTGTACCTTTCATCATATTTATTTCTGATGATTTTAAAATGCAATTTAAATTGTATGATTTATATGTAATTTTCTAATTGTAGGTATAATATAGAAATGTGGTAAACTTCTATATAGACTTATTATTGAAACATTTAATTTTAAAATTCAACTATTTTTCCTGTAGATTTTTTTGGATTTTCTAGATACACAATCATGTCACCTACAACTGATAGCATCATTATTTACTTTTATAATTATTTTACTTTTCTATTACTTTCTTGTCTTATCACACTGGTTAGCACTTTTATATGACGTTATATAAAAGTGAAATTATCAGATATTAATCTCATTCTTGATCTCAGGGGGAACCACTTAAAATTTTATACGCATAATACTTATTAATTTTGTTGTTGTTTTGAAGAGAGTATCTTTTACTAGGTTAAGATAGTTTCCTTCTATGTATTCCTAATTTGCTAAGAATTTTTTATAATTGATATTTTATTTTATCAAATTATTATATTGTGTCTAGTATAATGGCTATATGGATTTTCTTCTTTGTTCTTTAAATGTGGTAAATTGCATTGATTGGTTTTAAAATGTTTAAACAGTCTCACATTCCAGAAATAAATTCCTCTTAGTGATTTCATAAATCACTGGATTCTATTGGCTAATAGTTCATTTAAGTTTTTCTTTTTAAACTGTGTTCATGAGAGAAGTTGGCCTGTTATTAATCCTGTCATTTCTCAAAAGGTTTTATTAGTAAGAATACTGGCCTCAAACAATACTCTGAGAAATTAGCCTGCCTTCTCTGGAACAGTTTGTGTAATATTGGTGATATTTCTTCCTTAAACATTTGGAAGAATTCCATTTGGAGGCAATTGGGCTTGAGATTTTATTTGTGACATGATTTTTAATTAAGGATTCAATTTTTAAATAGTTATTATAAGCCCATTCTGATTTTATATTTTTTTTACGTTAGCTTAAGGAGTTTTATTCTAAAATAAATTTATACATTTTGTCTAAATTTCTAAAAATACTGCCATGTTTACTTACTTTTTGTAGGATATTTATGATGTTTTTCCTGACAATGGCAATCTGTGGCATCTCCTTTTTGTTGTTATGGCTTTGCTAAGGCTTTTAAATTTTATTAGTCTTTTCAAAAACCAACTTTTGGCTTTGTTAATTTCTCTATTCTAAGTTTTCTATTTTATTTTCATTCCAGGTTATATTGATTACTTTCCTTTCTATACTTTCCTTTGCAAAGTTTCTTCTGATAGATACTCATACTATTGATTTTCTATTATTTTTCCTTTTATAGCATAACATTTTAAAGCTATGAATTTTTCTCCATTTCCTATTTTAGCTGATGTCACCTACAATTGATAGCATCATTATTTGCTTTTATAATTATTTTACTTTTCTATTACTTTCTTGTCTTATTGCACTGATTAGCACTTTTAATATGATGTTATATGAAAGTGAAGTTATCAGATATTAATCTCATTCTTGATCTCAGGGGGAAGCATTTAAAATTTTATAAGTATAATGCTTATAAAATTTTAACATGCCATACTTTATTAACATTTAGTTTTAAATATTTTGTAATTTTCATTGTAATTTATATTTTGACTCATAAGAATTTAGAATATTCTGATTAATTTCTGTATCTAGTTTTGTAATTATTCACTTGGAGTTGATTTCCACCTTAATTCTACAGTAGTCAAGAATATATAATAAATGTTTTCACTCCTTTAAAATGTATCAGTCTTATTTTGTGACCCAGCAGATGTTCCGTTTTGGTAAATATACCACATGTACCTAATAATAGTGTGTTTTATTATTTGGGGTTCTAAATTGAATATAGGTTTGTGTATGTGTGTGTGTAAACAATGTCTATGAAAAACTGTGGAATCTCTGAATGATCCCAGATTGATATAGAGATATAGATACCTGTATATATAGATAGACATCTCCAAATGTGCTGTTCATATTATTCAAACATCTTTGTTCTTACTAATTTTTTTGGTCTGATTCTTTAATCCATTGCTGAAGTTGTATAATCTCCAAATAGTCATTCAGTTCCCTTGCCTGTTAGCTTCTGTTTGTGTGTTTACTATTATATATTGTCCAAGAAAAATTGTGAACCTTTGGCTGATTATTTCCTCCAGAGAGGATTAATTTTTCCCTGTAGACAGAATTCAGGGATATCTTGACCTAGACAAGGCTGGGTTTTAGGCTGATCTGTTTCCATTTTGCTCTTATTTCCATGGACAGAGCCCTTCAAAGATCTCATCTGAAATCCTGTGGTGTTTATAATATTCCTTCTTTCTTAACAATCCTTGATCTCTAATTTTTTTTTCCTTCTAGCACTGTGAGGCTATGCAAGTCTCTACTTAGTTTTAAGTCTTATTGCCTACTTTCTACTTGTATTTTTCTGCTTTATTTTTGATACGTGGGCAAATTAGGGATCAGACAATATCACAAGGGAAAAAAATCCACAGGATGTTGTGTCCATATCTCTGTAGTTTCCAATTCTTTGGGATCTTGGTTTCATAAGTTCCAGCAGACGTCATAGTTTTTGATCACCGGCATGTGTTTTTTCAGTCCAGGGAGATTGCTATAAACTCTGAGCTACTACTGGCTGCTTGGCCTCTAAGCCCTGTATTGCAAATTGGCTAATTTATGGGAGTGGGGAACATGGGAGAGAAGCTTCAGCAAATTATGGATTCACCTCAGAGCATTTCTCTTTTCTCAGAGATCTTAGATTCTAAATTCCTGGTTACTTTGGTTGTTTTCTGATGCTGTTTAATTATATTTAGCTTCTATAGTTGGTTGTCAGATAACATATTAGTCTGATATTAGTTTAGTGTAGTGATTCTAGAAACAGAAATGTCTGACAAATAACGCCTCCGTTTTATTTCCCTATTCCTGATCAATGTTACTACCAACAACTGAGATACAAATACTCCATGATGAACTCTTTCCTCTTTCTTTTATTCCTACATGTATTTCTTGACAAATTCTGTAAATTCTATCTTCAAAATTTCTCTCCTATATGTTTTCACCCTTTGTACTTTTACTATACTCTCTCTAGATTATATATAGCTCTTATAAAACATATTCAACACAATTTTATTTTTATGTATTTTAAATATTTTTGTTTTAATTGGCAAAAAATTATATATATCTTTACCATGTATACCATGTTGTTCTGAAATATATATACATTGTGAAATAGATTAGTTGAGTTCATTAACATATGCATTGCCTTATATACTTATCACTTTTTATTGTGAGAACATTTAAAGTCTATTTTCTTGGGGAGACACCTCTTATCAACAAGGGTACCTGAACGAAGCATATTTGCACACCTAACCCTTAACTGTACCCCACAATATCATAATAAAAATATTGATTAAAAATAAATAAATAAATAAAGTCTATTTTCTTAGCAACTTTTAAGAATACAATATGTAATTAAAATTGTACAATAGATCTCTTGAACATGTTCTTCCTATCTAAATGAAGTTTTGTATCATTTGGTCAACATTTGACCAACACCTCTTATCCCATAGCACTAGCTTTTAACGTGTCCTATGGTCCTATTCCTTCTTATATACTTCTATAAGAAAGGTTATATTAAAGGACTGTTTCAATTTCATTATTACATTGCTCATTACCTTCTAAACCTGTTTTCTGATCCCATTATTTGCCCCCATTCAATGACTAATGCATGTAGTACAAACTTCAGAACATTAATTTACAACCATCTAGTTCAAAATATTTTCTTATATTACTTTTTAAAATATTACTTTCAACTAATTTTGTAAATATATCCTATACCCCACGGGAATAACCCTATTTCCTATGGATTATAGCCCATATACTCCTACCTCCTTAATTATACTCATAACTTTCATTTTTATCTTAATGCTTTTTTCACTTTTCTTGCCATAACCTGGTCAATATTTTAAAGTTTACATCAAATACTATCCCTTCTATAACTATTATATGGAGTCCCTCAAGTAGGGGTAATATCTCTCTTCTGTGAAACCCTATTGCGCTTTGCTTATGTAGCTTAAATTAGCACATATTTTGTCTTGCTTTACTATGATTTTTGAACTTGCCAATATCTTCCACAGTATAAGCTCCTTTCAGAGTTTAAGATTATTTAAGATTATTCATTATTACCCTATAGCACTTGGAATAGTGCCTGTCATGTGGAACACCCCATTCAATAGAATTAAATAAAATTCTAGCACATTACAAATGCAGAACATCATATATGTACTTGTGTGATTACAAATGGGTTTGATAGACATAGATTTATGAAAAAGCAACATGCTTAGTAAATTTCCATTTTAGAAATAATCAATTTCTAAGATAAAGTTTGCATTAAAAAAATCTGATTATAAGCCAGGCTCGGTGGCTCAGCCTGTAATCCCGCGCTTTTGGGAGGCTGAGGTGAGTGGACTGCCTGAGCCCGCAGGTTCGAGACCCGCCTGGGCAGCGAGACCTCATCTCTACAATAAATAAAAATATCAGCCGGGCATGGTAGCACATGCCTGTAATTCCGGCTATTGGAAGGCTGAGGTGGAAGGATCGCCGGAGCCAAGCAGGTTGAGGCTGCGGTGGCCAGGAGTGGCCACGGCACTCCAGTCTGGGCAACAGAGTGAGACTCCAACTCAAAAAAAAAAAAAAAATCTTATTATATAGATCAATATACACTTTATTCTCCTTAAATTTACATTCCAGCACTTTTATGAAAAATAATTTTGCCATGTGAGTCATATACTATTATGTATGTCTTTGTCTTTGAATTGAATATTTAAGTAAGGTATCTTGAAAAATGTAGCACAATTCATTTAAATATTACTCCCAAACACATGCAAATCTTTGAATATTAATTTCATAATACAAAATTCAAAGGAAGATCATGTGAAGAAACTTTAGTGCTGCACAATTCAGGTGTTACTTTAAAGGACTGTGAATTTAGGAGTGGGGGTGTGTGTGAAAATCACTACTTACAAGGAGTATTCAGGAACAGCATCCTTGAAGGCAGGAAGTTCCCTCACATATTCATTATAAAACCATTTCACTTTGAAATGCAAATTCATGTAATCGGTGCTCTTGCATAACCGCTGCTTTTCATGTTCTATAACAGATAAAATCAAGTGTTTAATAAAGCTTGGTTTGCCAACAATTCTGCTGTGTTCCAATCTACTTTTATTAGTAGTACTTCTAGAAGAAAGAAAATGGTATATTGGAGGCAAAGGCATAATGAATTGCTAAAAACAGACCTAAAATTTTACAAAATGCAAAAATAATTATAGGTCTCACATAGAATAGGTCAAGCAGTAATGCAAAATAACTTGAATGCTCTAATGTGTCTTACTGGAAAGATGAGAAGTCTGCTGTAGTTTAAGAGTAATGATATACTGAAATTTTTCTTTTTATCTGCAAGCTTTCATACTTTCACTATTTTTAGTGACAGAATTAAAATTCAAAACATGGATAAAACATAGATCAGAAGACACATTGATTCATTGTGGAAATGTGAATGAATAGATCACATTTCTAGCTTAGTTATTTACCAATTAAAGAATTAAGATAGTTGAGAAGGAGAGAATATATCTCTAACTTCTAAGTCATATGATTTCTTCATATTTTAAGTTTAGCTAAAATTATCTTGCACCCTGTGACCTTTTAAATATTTCTTTAGCAGGATTTCCTAATATGTGGCATAATTTTTCTCTCTTGCTTAAAAAATACAGCTTAAAAAGATTACTATTATCTAGACATACAGCACTGGGAAATAGAGACAACTAATATTACTGAATATGTTTCTCTCTCCCTTTTTTTTTTTCCTTTTTGATATTGATATTGAATTCTGGTCACAACTATAAACACAACCAACCCCCAAATATAATTAGCTATATTCAGGTTCAAAGTGCCCTCTGATAGATCCTGCTTGAGGCCTAAGAGTCTCCTAAGGACTTTAATTTATAGCAGAAACATCCTATACTGTACATTTCAGGTTAAATTCTGAAAAACAAATTGAAGCAATTAAATTGTTATAAACAAATTAAGGGCATCCCTGTTCTTCAAAATCTGACTATAGAAGGACTTCAATACCAGTGATAAACACAAGTGAAAACACAACTTCAAGTTGAGTATTATCAAATTATCTGAACAATGATTAATTCAAGACAATTTGTAGAAGGGGGGACATCATAATGACTGGTACTCACAAAGAAAGAAGAGATATAAATAAACAAATACTTCTAGGCCAAACTCCCAAACAAAATTATAATCAAGATGATGTTTTGCTTAAGTTCCCTCCAAATTCATTTTACCCTTTTTCACCATTCAGTGTCAGCTCTCCCTCAACCTATTTAGATATCTAGTATCTCTTCATTTCTTATGAGGAAACATTTGCTTGATAAATTCATAAATAGGAGCATATCACAATACTACCCTGAAACCCGACAAGAGGAGACCCTTTCCCTGGGACTCAGACATTTAGAAGGTTTAATTCATCACAAATACAGGCTCAAATTTATAAATAGCTTTTGGGCTCTTCTGTCACTTGGGATCCCACACTTGGTGATGGTGGAGAGCAAGCTGGAATGCTAAACACCTGCTCTGATGATCGACTCTCTCTAAGCACTAGAGAAACATTTTAGACCATCTTTTGTCCTATGTCCTAGAAACAGAAGGTGACTGTGCCCAAAGGCTGTGCCCAAGATTTCCAGGTTGTGTCATTACTGACAACAGAAACAGATACTGCTTTGAGTATGGAGAGATATTTGCACCAAGGAAGCACTTAGATAAGAGAAAGTGAAACATTAATTTGCCACTTTCTTCCTTTGAATATTATAAATGAGATAGAATACTATAAATGCAATGATGAAGCATCTTTTCAAGTATTAACAAATGCCCATTTTCTTATTTTATTTGGTTCCAAATTATGCTTCTGAAGGTACTCATGAATCAGTGCAGTACTCTAGAATTATGGGTGAAATTATTTTATATTTTATTGATAATTCTTAAAAAATTTACTGATAGGTTAACTTGATGGCTGGCAACTATTTTCGTATTATATAATTCATATTACTCTTAAGTGTGTATATGTGTACTTCTAAGTGTCATATACATGAATCCTGATACTGAGTCTGCCAACTACATGGCTATTACTGTCAATAGTTTTATTCTTTAAATCTAGACAAATGAGATTTGATTAATTGGATTTTTGCTTTATTCAAATGATTTATGTAGAAATTTTACATCTGTCTTCATTCTAATAAATATCTTTGAAATTTTAGAAGAAAACTTTCTGAAAACTAGTTATGAACTATATATGAGAACACATATGGAGAAAATTTTAAATTTCAATTTCATATTTAAAGTTCATTTAAATTACATCTTTTATACTCATATTCAATCATGAGTGTTTTGAGTACAATATTTTACTTTTTAATTATTTAAATATAGATAAAGTGTGTAAACTGAGACTGGATAGAAAAACAAAACATGTAAGTAGAATTTAGAAGAAAAAAGTGAAAACAAAAAAAAAATTTCAAAAAGAAAAAATTTGAAGATGTATTTAAATTTTTTAGTCATGTGACTTTGAAAGGGTTATATTGTTTAACATCACTTTAAATGAAATGCAAAATTTTTGTTATAACTGCAGAGTTTGTGATTTTGCTAAAATAAAGGTGAGAAAGTATATTTTTTTGGAAGAAAAATATAATATTCTATGTGTCTCTTTATTTAAAAACCCACATATTATCAGTCTAAGCATAACATCCAAATATGCATATTGATAATTAAGTTTTAGCATTTACTTTTTTCAAACTTTTAGAATATTTAAACATAACTGGCTGTTACATACAATTTTAATCATGTCGATATGAAGGTATATTTGTTGACGTAGGAAGATATATTTATTTAACAGTTTATTAGCTTGATTTATAAGTTGTACCTATTTGTGTCTATGGCATGTGTATCTTCATGTATGCAAATGTTAAGAATGAGCCTGACTTAATGTGTTACTTCTTCCAAAAGTATTTGCACATCTACAGAATCTGGAAGGAAAGAGCAACATAGTTTCATTAAATACAAAATACATTATTGGATGTCTATCTTGTGTCAGGTCATGTGTGAGGCACTGGGAATATAAAGATAGATGAATGTTCTTTGATATGAAGTACACGGACCTTAGGGAGCGATATGAAGTGCGTGAAACTTAGGGAGGAAGGAGTGACATGTTAACAGTCAATTCAATACAAGTGCCATAATTTACAGGACATATAGAATGTTGTGATCTCTTGAAGGAGATGAATTTAGTCCCAACTCCATGCTGTAAGTGAGCAATCAATTCAAAAAATGACTTGCTCATAGTGGTATTTACTGGATGGAGAGGAATTTATTTCAGAGGAAACATTATATATAAAAGAAGACTTAATCTTCTTAGTTATATGGGATACTATTTAAAATGTGTTCACGGCTTCTGTGAAATTATGTAACTTTGTTTCTAATTAAAACATTGGGCTTTTTTCTTCTCTATGTACATGTTTTTAAATATTTTGGTGGTAAGTTTGGGTGAACCTTGGATTTAGTTGTTGACATAAAAAGAAAAGTTCACCAATCCCTTCCTCTTGCAATGCAGTAGTGTCTACACTTTGGAAAGCAGGTAAAAGCTAGCTGTGGGCAGTGTTCCAATCAGTTTTTTAGGCCAGACCTTCAGTTTACTTGTTCACATCTCCATAAGTGAAGTCATTTCTTCCTTTTTATTTGGGTGCTTTGCTCAGAACTTACAGAGCGCCTCAAACTCATCCTCCTAGAATTTATACAGTCTCTTCATTCCTGCTGTTCTCACAATTCCATAAAAGAAACAGTTCCATATGTCTAATTTACTGTAGCCAAACATTGGCAGGCCACATTTTATTCCTCACCTCCCAAGCTTTTCCTTTGAGATGGATATGGAAGATAGAAAAAATAGCCTTGATCTTTCTAAAAGATTAAATCTTGTTTTGTTCTTATCTAGAGACTATTCATTCTAGTTCCTAAGAATGTACCTGGTATTATAACTCCAACTATTAAATTAAGGGTTTTACCAGTCCCTCTGCTGAAAAGAAAAATCTTCTACCTTACACAACAGCTTGTAAACCCATAAGAATTAGTTTCTATCTCTTTTAGCTATGTTTCTCTTGTTCACTATCAACTGATATTTACTGTTCTCAGTGGACAGAAACAGGAGACTGGTACTCTCTGTTTTTATAAATGGACAATTCAACAACAGGGTGATTGACATCTTTACATGCATTATGCACTTCAGCTGATATAACAATAGACTTGCAGTTTATTGAATTAATTGGTAATGAGGTCAGATCTTGTGTTGTCAGTGAGAACACACATGAAAAGAAATGATATGCTTCTGCATAAGATCTACCTCTGATGTTTGCTTTTAAGTAGCAAATATTAAATATAAGCTTTTTTTTTTGCAGTGACTTGTGGTACTGAAATCACCATGAACCTCAGTATTTGTGACAGGTTTAAATTAACGGGTTACCAAATCATGGCCTTTCACCCTCAAGTCCACAACCAGACAACATTTTCCAGACTCCCTTGCCATATAACTGAATTTTGGGCTCTGTGAAGTTACAAAAAGTTTTTCAAAGATTGAGACTCTCTTATTAATTATACTCCATACTACTTTACTTTCTAATTTCCAGTCTCTTTCTTGTTGCTATGTATGTATGCATATGTACCAGATGGATGCCCAAAAAACTGGAATTTATTTATTAAAAACTTGTGTATTTATCCTTACATGTTTTAATTTCAGTCACTTTTAAAGTACTCTCTGTTTGATGCAATACACCTATCGAGACACTTTTTCCACTGTTCAGGGCAGTTTTGGAACTCATCAATTTTGATGCCTTTTAGTGCTTCTGCCGATTTTTATTTCACCTCTTCCACATGGGCAAAACATTTCCCTTTGAGGACTTTTTTCATCCGGGGAAACCAAAAATAGTTACTTGGGGTGAGATCGGGTGAATAGGGAGGGTGGAGCATGGGGGTCATGGCGTTTTGGGCCCCAAACTGCTGAACACTCAGCACAGTGTAGGTAGATGTGCTTTTAAATCAACCATC